ATCAATGCTTCACTAACGACTGGCACATTCCCTCCTGCCTTCAAACAAGCCCAGGTAAGTCCACCACTCAAAAAACCCTCCCTTGCCCCTACTCAAGCAGAAAACTACCAACCACCCTCCCCCTTCCTGGCTTAAATCATTGAAAGAGCTGTCTCAAAGCAGGTCACAAAATTCCTCTCCCAACATAATCTCCTTGATTCTAACCAATCCAGCTTCAAGAGTGGTCACTCCACTGAAACAGCGCTCCTGCCAGCAACAGAATCCTTGAAAGAAGCCAAAGCGACAGGCCAATCCTCAGTTCTTAGCCTGCTGTACCTATCAGCAGCATTTGATACTGTAAACCAGGGCATCTTACTAAATAAGCTGGCGGACATAGGCATCGGGCATTGCACACTCTTGGTTTGAATCATGCTTAACTGCACAATCCTTCAAGGTGTCATGGCAAGGCCCAACATCGACTAACACTATCTCACCAAAGGGGTTCCCCAAGGCTCAGTCCTGGGTCCCATTCTCTTTATGACATACACCATTTCGCTGGGCTCGATCATCCAGTCACATGGCTTCTCCTATCACTGCTATCCAGACGACACTTGGTTGCCTCTGTTGCTCGATCGTGCCGCTTCTCTTTAACATCAGGAAGATTAGGCCATATCTAACCCAACATGCCTAGTACAGGCTTTAGTCATCTCCTGCCTAGACTACTGCAATGCCCTCCCAACAGGCCTTCCAGCCTGTGCTGTGAGACTGCCACAGATTTTCCAGAATGCTGCAGCCTGTTTGGTTTTTAACCAGCCAAAGAAAAACTCGTCACACCCTTGTTTACTGAACTCCATTGGCTTCTCTTAGCTGCTCGTGTCATATTCAAATCACTGATGCTGGCCTACAGAGTGTTTGATGGAGCTGCGCCCATTTACCTCAACACCCTCTTATAGCCCTATGTTACCGGTCGCCCACTCTGTTCCTCCAAGGAGTCCCAGTTAACACAGCCAATGCCCCTTACAGGTCAATATAGACTCTTCTCATCTGCAGTTCCACGCTAGTGGAACAAACTTACAAGCACATCAGAGCATCAGATTCTCTTTCCTCCTTCAAGAAATCCTTGACGACCCAGCTCTTCCGAGAATATATTTTGTCTTGAAAGCTTTAAATGCACTTATTTCCTGATAGCACTCAATGTATGGTAATTGTGTAATCTATATCATACTTGAATGTTAAATCCTTAATGTTAAATCTTCTTCTAGTAAATTGCACCCAATGTAAGGTAAGTGTTTAACTGTTGTTGTAGTTGAATGTTAAACTCTCTTTTTGTAAGTCGTTTGGATAAAAGTGTCTTCTAAATGCATGGATGTAAATGTAAATGGGACACTTTGACCCATAAATCATGAAATGACTGAGCCTTAAATTGAACTAACAGATGAGTTATATGTACTGAAAATTAAATAATCAGTCAGGTATAACTTTGTCAGATTGGTTTTAGTATAGATTGGTTTGTTTTATGCACCAGTGTGAGCTCTGAAAAATCAGTTTCAAGGACCATTGGGCACTACCAACCTCACAAGATGTAGCCCATGTAGGAATGGTTATTAAACTCACCAGTGTGACATGAGACATAAACCACTGACATGCCTCAGAAGTTCCATTATGAGCTCAAGTCATGACAAAATTATTGACAAAAATAGTGTAATTTGTGTCCTTAAAGCCAACTGTCAACTGGTTCCTCTGTACATAAAAATTTGCTTTGCATTTCTATAGCAATTGTCATTTTATTTAAAAATTGATGGACAAAAGTCACTAAATAATATACAGTAGAAAACACACACTGAATAATTTATATTGATGTTAGTAAGTGAGTTTTAACTGATGCATCTTTATGAATTTTGAAACAGTCATTCAAGTCACGAAAACATACATTGCAGCAAGCGGCAGAATAAAATTGACTAAGACATGCGTTTCCACATTCCGCATTGGAATGGAAATCATTCTGAAGTCTTTTGCCTAAAATCTACAACTAAAGGGTCTGCAAATGAAGGAAAGACTGTGGATGGATGCCTCAAGACTTTGGTTGACCTGCTCTTCACCGACACACGTTTCACCTTTTCAACAACACTACCTCAGACAATCATGGCTATTGCTGAAACAGTCTGTTCAAAATGCTTTTGTCATTCCATAGATTGAATATTCTTTAAATGTAACTGTAGGTCCTCCCTGTTTGGGTGGGTTTTGCAGAGGTGAAAAGTTTATTTCATATGCTGTCTGACTCACTGTATTATTGGTAAGGGAGTACACAATGTCTGTTCTGCATAATTCATGTTTACATCTTAACCTATGGTAACTTTGTGCTAAAAGGGTATATTCATATTTTCAAAAATATGTCTTTATGTAAAAAAAAATAATTCTGTGTTACAAGACTTTAACTTTATCATTCAAAAAGTTGAAAAGTTATATATAGATCAGTATACCATTTTAATGGTTCAATATATCAGTCTCCAGTAGAGTCTGATCTGTTGTATTTAAAATTAAGACTCAGTTCCCTAGGTTATGGTACTTCATGTCAGAATTCAGGGACACACTCGGTGTAATATACTTTTTTTAAACTACAAGTAACATGTTTTAAACGCAGTTACACTCACTAAAACAAGCTAATTAAGTAATTTAACAGAAAATGCTTTTAGATTTATAGAGTGGATTTATCATCAGTGCTCAGCAGAGTAACACGTGCCAGTCCAGTATGTATCTCCTCTAAAAAAGATCACAGCATTTTTTTTGTCTGCAAATTGTTGTGGTCCATTTCAGCCCTTTGCCTTCATGTGACATATTGAAGTGTGATATGTACTGAACTGTAAATGCTGTGTAAGCTGTGTTTATTTCTTCTGCCCTGACCACAGCATCTTCAGTAAAAGACTACAGTGAAATTACCTATTATTCCTGTGATATTTGACAATATTTTTATGCAAGACTGAATGTCAATTAAAAATGATTTCATTACGCCCAAGAGTTCACAGGATTTTAGACCAATATAAAAACAGCTTTAGGGAAACTTTTTAAAATAATCTCAAGATGTTATATTATGAGAATTAGTTATAGTAGTCTGATATGGTAAGCAAACTTCAAGGTAGAATGAAATCTCCAGGCTTTAAAAGAAGCCATTAAAGAAGCCATTAAATCAAACAAGTTTATGGACTTAAAATTAAGAAGCAAATGAAGAAAGAGGAGAAGTTAATCATTTGTATCTCCTCTTTTAATGGCACTCTTTGGACATTAATTTGTCAGAAAGACTGAGAATGAGAGTGATTAAAATCTCTTAATCAGAGGAATTACACTGACAAATGGGCAAAAATTACCCAAGGGACCCTTTTGTTTCTTTGACATAACTACTACAAGATAAAAAGGCAATAACGTGGCTGAAACTTGTTTCAGCTAAGCTGGATAAAGTATCATTTGGAGACACAAGCCAAAAAAATTAAAAAATACAAATTCATCCATCCATCCATCCATTCTCCTCCGCTTATCCGGGGTCGGGTCGCGGGGGCAGCAGCCGGAGCAGGGAAATCCAGACTTCCCTCTCCCCGGCCACTTCAGCCAGCTCCTCCGGGGGGATCCCGAGGCGTTCCCAGGCCAGCCGGGACACATAGTCCCAATACAAATTCACCCAAAATAAAAAATACAAATTTAATGAATAATGTACTAATAGTAAAACATGAAGATTGTAGATTATTTATTAAAAAATAATTATATAACTATACATTTTATTATTACACAAACAACAAGAATAGAAGCTTCCTTATGCTCCATAAAAAAAACAACTCAAGCTGGATGCAATGTCAGCTCAAGAGCTCACCAATTTTCTGCTTGTGGGTTAGATTCTTGAAAAAGAAATGTTCTGCCTTTTTGTAGTGTCAGAATAAAGACTCATGGCACGGAGCAGTATCTTTGAGCAAAAGAGCACACAGATGCTCTGATTTAAAAAAAAAAAAAAAAGAAGTGGGTTAACCCTCCTGGCAAAATCACACTAGTCGGATCCTACTTTGCCCCCACCAACACCAACCATACTCTGCTCCAAAAATACCTCTTCACATGAACAGGTGTGACTTACACCTGTGCATTGGTGATGTGTGATGTGTGTGTTAAAAGCTACTCAACTAAATCATGTTTTATTTTGTCCACGCATAAATAAAAAGAGGCCTTTTTGCATCAAATCTAAACTGCCACAGATAACTGGACTGCCTGTATGTGAGGTTAAGCAAGATGGCTTGTGATTAAATGGAACTGCCCAAACATGTGTCTCAGAGGCCATGTTGTCAGACATGTTGTTTTGGTACTTAACTGTACACATCAAAGAGATAAGCCCCTGGGGTCAAGAGAGAAGTCGAGTAGGCAGAGCTTTGAAGACGACATGAAGCTGTGTTTCATTATTAGAAGCATCCCAACACTGATGAGTAGATGCCGCCTCTCTGATGGAATTCAGTATTGCCCTGTTTAATAACAACAATCACTGTCACTGGAAATGATTTTGTGCCGACTGAAATGCATAAATCAAATCTATTAAATATGCAGAGACTGCATTGTGACCTAGATTTCACAATTGCATTTCTAAGCGTCACGTCAGGTGAAATAACGGTGCGCACGAGGCAGGGTGAACTACACCGTGCCTCGTGTGCACAAATGATGGAAACCATTCAGAGTTGATGTTTTATTTTGTTCTTGCTGCCTGCACTTTCTAATCGGAAAAGACCCACTCTCTGAGCACCGTAGCTATCAGCAACTGCTTTGGGGAGGACAAATATAGTGCCCGTTGCCATGGTTATAACAGAGAAAGCTACCACACAAATAGAGCAATGAGACCACGAGGATGCACACCTACACATATCTCCCCACGTTCCATCCACAGATGAGGAGAATCTACCCATGAGTGCAAGTATGACAGGTGCAAACATGTAGGCAGATGTGTGTCTGTGTGTGAGTGCGTGATGAGCACCTGTGGAAGTTAAACACACACTCACCGTCACAGTGGGGATGGCAGTGACGAGGGAGTAGACGAGAACGGGAGGCGCCTTGCTGTTGTCCTCTGGTCCTGGGCACGGCTTGGAGTAGGCTTTGTCGAAACAGAAGAATCCCTGGACGTGTACGGGGAAAGTGTCCGTGTACTCGAAATAATACGCCAGCAGAACGGTCCCTGCCATGATGACCAGCTGGAAATAAAACATGTTGGTCGCAGCTTTAAAACCAGATCCACAGGAGTTAGAATAAAAGCGGCAGCGAGCAGGTGAACCAAAAGGAAATGAACGCGGTCTAAAAGAAATGAAAAAGGGAAATATTCACAGGCAAAAATGATGGATGCTCCCATAATGTGAAAAGTGAGCCATTTGTGCATGGAGAGATGGTGAGGGAAGAGTCTGAGAGTGAGAGGCAGAGAGTTGGGGAGGGAGGGTGGAGAGGATAGAGACGGAGGGAAACAAACAAGGAGAAAGCTACAGAGGAGAAACTAAAGCAGAGTGAAAGTGAGCGATCCCTTCAGCAGTGTCAGTATTCAGTAGGAGGAGAGAGAAACAAATGGAACCCCCCACCCACCCCCCAAAGAAACGCTTTGTGGAGGAACAGAAGAGGAACTGGATAAGGATGGGGGGAGGCACAGATGGGTAAGACTAGGAAAAAAAGACCACTGAGCGCAGGGAATAAGACAAGAAGAATTACATATGCATGTGTGGATCTCTGCATAACTAAAGTTAGGGCTGATAGTTATAAAGTGTCTGCTATATGGAAATCACGAGCCATGAAGCATAAAATATGACCCTCATTATTATAGAAAATAAATAATAGCATTAGCAATTCATGAGATTGTACGTGTGAGAGAGAGGAGGAGAAGGGGTTTAAAAAACCTATTCTGCACGGATGAAACAGATGCACTAGTACTAATTATTCATTTCTGCTCCAGTAAACAGCACACTAATGTATTTGGTTGGGTCTGTAGTCAAAAGCAAGTAACCCTAATGTAAGCTTCCCTTAATTTGTAGCGAAAAAACTGAAGGTTTGAGAATCATCCTTTTGTCCCTCGAGAGTGGCCTGAAACTGTGAATGGAGAAAAAGGACAGGGAGTTCAAAGCTAGCAGTGGCTAGCAATGATTAGTTTCATGATTCAAACTTCCACTGAATGCAAAAAAAAAACAAATCAGTGGTGAAACATAAGGGGCTACTCGTGGCTGGCTGGACTCCAGCCAGCCTTGAGTAGGACAGTGGGGCAGGAATGTAGCAGCAGTTTGGTGGCTGATGCTCTTTAACCTTAAAAAAGGTTGCAACATGTCCATGTTTCATCACTGCTCAGTAGAATATTACAAAATCACAGCATGTACTGTCAAATAGCTCCCAAAAAAACCCCAAAAAACATTTATTTCTGCACAAAGCATGGGCTGCTGAGGGGATATACAATGTTTCTTATCAGTATTTCTTTAATTGTTTCTTCAAGCATTGTATTATAACTCAAACTAACATGAAAACAGAAATTATTAAGTTACTAGAGGTAGTTATACAACCAGGAAGTCCATGCAAGGATAGTTATTTCAGTCATATTCATAAATAAAGGAAGTAAATGGTATATTGCTTGAACCATTGCCAACCATCTTCTGGATGTTTCCCTTTCTCAGCACACCTTATTTGAGTAAATTAGTTTTTAATAGTCTTCAGAAGAGCTTGACGGTGGTCTAATTGATAAATAACATCACTTTTTCATGCTATCTAAATAAATGTATGTAAACATAACCTTACCTAATGCCACAGTTTGTTACAATGCAGTTACTTTAAATAATTCTATAAATGATGGAGAGCATACTATTTGATATGTCAATATGCTATCAATACTTTTATCGAGCATTGTCATCTACATTAACATATGTAAATGGAATATGCTAATAAACATGCAAACAAAATAACAATGTAGTAGCTGAAAGGGAGTTTGCTGATTAAAACGCTGAGGCAGGAAGCAATAGCTTATCTCATTTGTAGCATTACATCCCAAGCAAGGGTCCATGCAACCTAGGGTGGTGCAAAAACTCACAGGGGTTTCACATGGTTTAAAGGGTACAGAAGTTGCTAAAATTACACTTACATATTTACCAAAACATTTCCTATGTCTTGGATTGTTAAAGCCCGACAGGATAAACCACTTCAAACTCTACTTTAACTCATAGGTGTACAAGTTCTTGTGCATTTAATGAAAATAGAGGAAAAAATGTTCTTGTGATTGTGACATCTACATCTAGACAGACCGCTGACTGATGGATTTTTAAATGACATACTTCACAGACATAATGACCGTCCACAATGAAACCGAAACGCTGATGCTGGGCTTCAAATGACATATTCTGCATTGAAAAGACACTCACTTATTTTAAACTTTTAAACTTTGTTCCAATTGATTAATTACCTTATTGCCTCTTTATAGTTTCCAAAATTCTCCTAATGGAAATAGAACATATGTATCCACTGGTGCGTGCTTACGGGAGTTATCCTTTCCCCAAAGGTCCACAGTAAAGGGACATTGTCAATAAAGTGAGTGCCTTTAGCTCTCTCAAGCAGAATCCTGTCTATTTTTCAGACATATTTTTCATAACTTTACGCATGCGTGTTTTTCTGTTTTAAAGAGCGTAGGTGTGTTTCCTTGAGCTGTGTGTTTGAATACGTTTGTGTGCATGTGGGTGCATTCCCATATCTGATGAGGAACTCTGACACAGCCATGCTGTGGTGAACATTTATTTCCATCATCCAGTTTTCTCCTCTGCTCAAGCTACAGAAGGCTTGAGGGAGGGAGGTTTATGGAGGTGGGAGGAAGAGAATGAAAGAACAACCACAAATACCCATTGAAGTTTTAACAATTTTTGGGGACAAAAAAATAAAAACATTTCTGAGAGATTGAATATAACATTTATTAAGGTTAGATCGCCACATGATAGTATTCCATTTAATAAAATAAGTGGTGTTATTTATCTTCATCATCAATATAAACAGGAAACAAGTTTGCTTAATTTTTTAGTGCAGGCTTAGCCAACATGTCAAATGGGCTGTGCTTTAACCACAGCCGGTTTTTAAACATTCTTAAAGGTCAAAAAGGTTCAAGTTTACAGTTTTATAATTCTCATTAACGCATTTTAGCACAAGTCACCTTGAAACATTCATTTACATAAAGTCAAAGCAACTGTCATGCAGATGAAAGCTCATTTGCATTGCAAGAGGGCAAAGTCCCTTCTGTTTTTCCCCAGTGTTCTCAGATCCAACACACACTTTCTTCATAATTTTCGCACAACCAAGTTCTACCATAACAACTGAAAATGTATTTCAGCATTAGTCTTCTCTCGAAAACTGAGCCCTCCGAAGCCAGTAGAAGGTGATAATCGGGTGCTAATGCAAACAAAACAACAATGATAACAATATCTATTGTCTATACAGGATCAAAATTAATAGAAAATACAGTATGTCCGATAGAATGTTGAATAATTTCACTTAACTTTGATTCAGAACCACACAGTATTGTGGGGGATGTATGCTTTAGTCCCTCAACCTCTCATGGCCCAGTCAAGAAGGTTGGTGGCATCAACAAACTTACTCAAGCAACAGCCTGTAAAGTAACATGTGTAGTAGGAGCTTCATGTTTCAGCACGGTGCCTCAAATGAGTGTAAAAGCTTGACAGTTTGTCCGTATATCATATATCTTAGGCCTGACAAGAGTCAGTTTGTTATTGTAAATGCAAGGTTGACGTCCCTATCAATCCGACAAATTTATTTCACCACCTATCTGTTGGAACACAGCAGTATCAAACAGCCACATCAATCAACATCTGTCAGTGGAATAACATACAAGTGGAGGCAGACTACATCGAGTGGTGCTATACAAAGAAACATTAAAAAACTATACAGAAAAAAATGGATGGAGAGATGGGTTTCTTTTTAGAATAAAAAAGGGAATAACTAGCAACACTGAATGATAAAAAAACACTTATATTAAGAAAATGTTCAGCCTATTTCACCCAGCCCTGTGATAGGTAAAATTATTGAGAGACTAGCCTCAGATTGGAACCAGTTTGAGCCAGTCGGCTAAACAAGCAGTACTTGTCTGACCTTTTAAATTCTGCTGTTTGGCTCACTTAAGTGAGGTCTATACAAAAGCATATACTCAAATACCTTTTAGGCTGTACAAGTGTGTGTTTAATCATAACTATCCTAAAATGCAAATATCTAGATAAATGTTTTACTGTTACATGCTCTCTGTAACATTGTCCATAATTGCCCCTTTCAATGCATTTCAGTGTGACTTGATCCAAATCGACTTTTTTTGGTTACCATTAGGTAGTAGCACCTGCCGCCAGTTCCAATTTTAGAGCATATTCAGCCCAGGCAAGCTGAGTTGAAATGACTATTCATTGCAGGCCACTGATTGGCCATGGAATAGACTTTTATACAAGTACCCTGACATTTGTAAAGATGTAAAAACAAAATACGATTTTATCGTTATCATCAACAGGAAAAACAGCTACAATAACTAGTGCTGCAATGAAAAGGTTTTAGGTGATTTAGGTGACCCTTTCATTGTTATATCTCATTTGTGTTGCATACAAATGATGCCACTGAGCTTTAAGGCGGTCTTGCTCTAATGACCTCTTGTAAGGTTTAAATGAAGCGAGTTGAGTAAAGTCAGAACTGAGTTGGTATAAGGGTTAGTGAAAAAGGCTCGTAAGTTATGCCGCAGCTCTGGGCAAATCTCACAACTCGGGAGGTCTGGCAGGTTGACAGGTCTTCAAACAAAGGAACTTTTATATAAAATCTAACTGTTTATTGTAACGTTTAACTGAGAACAGATTGCAACAACCATTCCTCCAAATGAAACAATAAAACATATAGTTTGTTAGAGCCCTTTGGAAGCTTAGTGTTTGTTGGCACTCACGGTTGGAAAACACAAATGTTTCTTCCCAAGGCAAAGCAAGACACAAATTACTTAGGGGAAAGATTTTGGTTTGATTGCAAGGTTTCTGCTAAGACTTGAGAAGGCAGGAACATGGGGGATCTTGTCTTCACTTAACCCCATTTACACCACAGTCACCGGACCAAGCCCTAATACAGAGGTAGTACTTGTTGGTGCTTGTTGACCCAGAAGTGACATAGCAGGAGCGCTCATAGTGACTCGAGATAGACGGGAATTAAGTTGCGTTAAAATTTTGAA